AAAATAGGAAATTAATAAATTAATATGTTCTTGAAAATTAAAAATAAGTTATTTGAGTTTTAATTGAATATTCATATAATGATTTTGCTTTTAAAAAAAATTCTTGGATTTTTATTAAATAATGATTATTGTACTAGTATACACCCTTTCGGTCAGAATATAGGCCGAATAGGCCGCCCGAACCGACGAAGCACACACCATGGCACCTCTTCGGTTTGGGACTTGGCCGAATACACCCCTCGGCCAAAGGAGTGGCCCAAGGCTCACCACAAGTGAAGGTGAATAAACACTCACCTAATCAATCGGCCACAAACACAGCCGAACACCCATTCGGCTCTAGACTAGGCCGAACACCCCCTTCGGCTCTGGGATAGGCCGAACACCCCCTCGGCTCTGGGCTAGGCCGAACACCCTTTCAACTACGATCATGACCTAATATCCACCTGACCTCAAAGGAACGAGCTATTCGAAGATTGTATGAGGAAAAGATCTCCAAAATACCCTTCGGCCTTGAGCTCAACCGAATAAACCTTCGGCTTCAAGCTTGGCCGAAGGAAGGAAAAGCCAAGTGCCTCGGTCACGGGCCTAGCCGAAGACCCCTTCGGCTTTGGGTTTGGCCGAATACCCTTTCGGCCTTAAACCTGGCTGAGGACCCAACAAAGGGACAGTTCACGTTAATAGCAAGGCAGATTAAGGTACCTAATAAGCAATGCTTGTTAGAATTAATCAAGAGAGATTAACGTTAATTAAGAACATTACCCATCTCCTAAGACAGGAGGCCCACCAGGCCCAAACACGTCACTATAAATACACAGGTGATGGGACATAAAGGAGGTACGTTATTATCCAATATAAAAGCACTTATTGCTCTATACCGAATACTCACTTGATCGTTGGAGTGCCTTTGCAGGTACCCTCCCCACCCCTTGGAGACAGTATTCGGTCGGCACCGAAGACTTAGAAGACCAAGAAGGAAGAACGACAAGAGGAGTGTTTCTACGCAGGAACAATTATAAAATAAAAGAAATTTTTGAAAATAAAAGTTAAATATTGGGTTTGGTCTTTGAAACCCAATAACCTTTAGTTAGTTAAGTCTAAGGTATTAGTCAACCTAATACGGTTGATCAAGTTTGAGGTATTAATTAACCCAATATTTTTTTTTCTATTTCTTTTTTTTTTTTGCTCTTTAAAAATATTTAGTGTTGTCAAAACCATGTGTGGAAGAACTTGAAGTTTGAGTAGATCACACTATAACACCTTCATCTTTCTAGGTGTTTTATCCAGGTAATAAAAGATAGACTATTTCACTCATGGGTGTGAAATAATTATGGATGTTGGTGTTATCCCTCAATCTTGTTGGTTTAATGATGTATGATCTTGGAGGAGTTTTAAATACCCTGAAAATGTGTTGGATTATATGTATATATATTTGGTAGATTAGTTTTATTGTTGATTTAATATGCTTTTGTGATGGATTGAAATTGTTGAGATTAATTGTCCTCTACATGATTGATTTGGTACCTTAGGGTTCATAAGATTTACTTGTTATACCAATTGTGTGTTCATACCTTAAAAGAAACAAACCAAAAAGTACCTTGATAGTTAAGCTTGAGACTTAAGAGGTGACTATCAAATCTACATTCACACTATTTAGGGACATTGATATGAGAAAATGGTTGTGCTAGGTGTAACACATACATGCTACATATAACCATGGTCGTGGTTTATTTCAACAAGGCCATGATATGTGAAACACAGTCATGTTGTGGTTGTGCTATTTTTCCAAAGTGAAAAAAGGAGCCAACAAACATAAACATGCTTAGGGGTAGCACAACTATGCTTGAGAATGAGCAAGAAAGTGAAATGGGAAGCACGAACATGCTTAAGTATAGCACAACCTTGCTCAAAAGTGAGGCAAAGATATGAAAAATCAAGCACGACCATACTCACCTCCACTCTACTTAGCATGATCGTGCTAAAGGTTAACATGACCGTGTTGGTTCCCTATTGATATACGTTGCCTTTGGGACTTAATTATTGAGAAGGGAAGGAGTAGAATGTGAGATATAGACTGTTATGTAAAGTTTGGATAATTAGTTAATACTTAACATATTGTGATGAGAGTTTGAATATAATTAAGATATAGTTGAATATGTGAGATATTACCTTTTTGAATAGTTGAATACAATTTATAAGTTTAAACCAAAAGCTTAGCTAATTGGTAAGTCCAAGCAAGATGCTTAGCTAGTTGAGATGTGTAAATAGTTAAATAAATTAATAAAGTTGAACAATTGTTTGAAATCATGCAACATCATGACATACATCATTTATATAACTAGTGATTTTTGACAAGGTATTGGTGTGGAATTCAGCATTAGAGAGGTCCCTTAGTGGTTAATTATAAAATATTTTTATGATTACCTGTTTGTTTGAATTAATGAAATGAAGTATTAAATATGTTTCAATTTTTTTTAGAAATTTGTAAAATTGATCTATACTTTAAGAATTTCTAATTTGGTGGTCGGATGGTTAAAATTCAACGTAGAAGATGACTTATTGAGTGGAGTAAGTCTATCATGACTTACTCTTAGAGTAAGTACACACACACATATATCCATTTGCGTGTGTTTGTCTTTTCATTTCAATATTAATATTTTATTTTTAATCTTAATGCTTGTTGTGGATCGATAAACCATAGCTTGATATTTGATTCATTAGCTATTGAAAAACATGTTTTATAATCTTAAATTGAAATAAAATACTTAATAAAGCTTGTATCTAGGAATATAACTTGACTCCTTAGTCATCTTAAATTCTTTTGATTAATACAAGTTTGTTTATTAGGTATTCAAGAAATTAATGTATAATAAGGAAACTTAAACTATTTCTCCTAAGGAATTAGGATTTGAGTAAACTAGTGTATTAACATTAACATTAAATGCGAAAAAAGATTTGAGTGTTTTAAATACATGAGAGTGGGGTTCAGTGATATCTAATCCTGACGTTAACATATCATTTCATTTTATCTACATCGCCCTCTAAGTGCTTGCAAAAATACTAAAAAGAACTTTACTTTTTTTTTTTACATAGTTTTTATTTCTTTTATCAATTAATATCATTCAATAGAATATTCTCTTGTCTAAATTACTTATTGATTGTATTTATTGTCATGTATTTCACGAATCTTTTGAGAGACAACATTTACTCATCATTGACTACTAATGCGACTAATGCATTTGTCAAAACTGCCTAACAAAGCATGGAGCTATTGCCATGGAGAAAGATCATTTAGTTTTATACCTCCCAATGAATGTGTGTCCTTTTTTTATACTTCATGTATCTTTACTTTATGTTTTTAAGGCACTTGAATGCCAAGAGAAAGTATTAACATGTAAAAGCTTGATCTTTTACATTAATCTTTAAAAAAGAAACTTTAAAAACTTTTATAGCTTAAAAAGAGAGACCAAAAAAGTAATTTATCCTATTGTTGAATTAGAAAATTTTGGATAAGTGTGTTTGTATCCTGATTTTAAGAGTGTTTTATTTTTTAGTGAATTTAAAATACTTTGAAGTGAAATATTTTGTTTGAATATTAAATTTGAAAAAAAATAAATTATAGTAATTTATAAAAATATTTTGATTACTTATACTTGTAGAATTTTAAATTCTTTCTAAAAGTAAGAATTTAAAATTTTTCATACTTCTTTTTATTATCTCATTTATATATCTCTTATCTTTCATCTCTCTCTCACTTTTCTCTTTATCATATTTTCCTTCTTTCTTCCCTCTCTTTCTCCAATCTCTCACTATCTTCTCTTCTTTCTCCTATCATTTTCTTTTGTCTATGAATGTTGACTTAAAAAATTCCATTTTTTTAATTATTAAGTATTTAAATTTACTTTGAAATTATTAAATATTTAAAAGTTGATTAATATTAATTTTCGTAAAATTTAATATATATATATATATATACTTGAAAATTAATTTTGCATATGGTGAAAATTAAATTACTCTATCCTAACAAAAAAAAACTTAATAAAATATAAAAAATGAAATCTAAATAATTCAAATTTCAAAAAATTCTAATTTTGAGATTTTAAAATTTTTATTCTGAACACATTATATTATTACACCATGGAATAGAGATGCTCCACAACACTCTGTTCTTGTTGGAACTTATTTATTTATTTTTTTAGGGTAACCATCGAAAAATGTTGATCATATGCATTTTTATTTATATTTTGTTTTCATTTTCATTTTCATTTGTCATGTTTCATTAATAATTGTAAAATTGTTATATCGTTTCACTTTTGTTAAATTCATAAACGATATTTTCATCTTTCATTAGCAACTTTTTTTTTTTTTGTTAAAAGTAAAATAAAATATGTTAATATTTAAAAATTATTAGAGACAACTTAGTAATTAAAATGAAACGCAAGAATAAATTAGAGACCTTAATCTAAAAACATTGTCATACAATAAAATAAATATATGGCAGTTATTATGGAGTAGAAAGAAAACGACTTTGATCTCTACATGTGTCATCCTTATTTCTGTTCGAGCAAAGAAAACGAGACATTTCACTGATCATTTTAATATATATGCGTATTTTTTTAATTATTATTTATTGCAATGTTACATAAACTTTCATACTGTTACATGCTTAAATCTTACCAACAAATTATGTCAACCTTAGACGTGATTTATATAATCAGTGTGAACATTGAAAATATTGCTCTGCAAATTTTTTGTAGATTCATTCATGTACACGAGATGAGAAAGCTTGCCACTTTCCCCAGTAAATTCAAAGTGCCAAAACCCGACCAGGTAACAAAGCTTACAGGCCCACAAAAGATGTGGCTCATTACAGTTCTTTCAGCAAGTAATTTCTTTCTTGTTGAACAAAAAATAGCCAGTATAATTAGAATTAATTGAACTCAAAATGAACATGACATGACCTACCTAAATTAAATTCCATTAATAAAGCAAGAGACAATGGCTAAATAAAAAGATGAAAATGTAAAACCAATACCCAGCTCTATCAGGACCTGAGTTTCAAGATCATATCTATATAGCTTTATGATCTCAAGAATCTTTTGTTGTTTGCTTTAGAAGTAAAAAAAATGACTCATGAAATGCTGTATAAAGAAATCTTATGACTATGATTTATGAACACTAAAAAATAGGACATCTACCAACTTTACATTTTAACAAAAGAAACAAGAAAAACCTATGCCTCTGATGTTAAGACACTAGACAATTTCATGCCTCAGCCACCTCACTCAGCTGGAAACAACTTGAATCCAAATCACAAGAAGAATCAGTTTGTCAAATGTAATCTTGAAACTATTCTTCCATTTAAACACTGCTTGATTCATCACTCTGAGCTCGTGGTGTTGTCGCTGGCTACCCAATACTGCTTGACAGCAAACAACACTTTCTCTGAAACCATTGGACCATCCTCATGATCCATCATTTTGGTACTCCATCTCATTCCTTTCACAATTCTTCTCACCTGCATCAGCACATCACCTTGATCTCGGAATATTACTGCTCCTTCGGGACGCAAGATTCGGTCCATCTCCAATAGAATGTCTTCTGCATTACATCTGCATTGATCATTTGAATTAGCAAAAACCTTAAGTAGTTTGTTTCTCTTGCACACTTGTCTCCAAGGTTGTTCCACTACATGGTCTTTTATAATCGTTGGGCAGGTTCACCAATTTGTAATTAATTGACTATCTTCCCAATTACAAAACTTCACTCAGAGCCTCTTTGAGTAAGTTTAGAACAACTTTTGAGAATTTCTCTACTGAAAATAATTTATTTATTTTTTAATAGAGAAACTCCCTAAAGCATTACTAATTTATATCCAAACAAATTCTTAGTCTATTATCCAAGTGCTTTGACAAGTACAACTAACCTTGAAAACTACATTTCATCTAGGAGTGGTAAATGAGGAGAAAAAAACTTACCCACTCTTGTACAAGCTGAAAAGGCCATTTGCATGGATAAGGTCATATGTCCTTGGATATGTGGAGAAGGCTTCACACCTGGTAGAAACTTGATAATTAATAAAAAGACTCTTTCTCCCCCATGCAAAATTTAGCAGAATATATTTCTTAAAGAAGAATTCCAGAATATAATCCTTATTCTTTGTACATAAAGTTCAACAGTACATAGATTGTTTTCACAATGCTTATGTTTCTTGGCCTTTAACTAATCATCATTGCACCTGTGCCAACAATCAACTCAGACCAGGTTCTTCAATAAAATGACTTTGACCAGCCTAGCAGGTTCAGTTTTGAACTAAAGAAGGAATAATGACTCGAGAAAGAGTGGGAATGTATGGATATCAAACACAAATTGGCATTAATACAATTTTACTGTGGATAGAGACAATGGTCTATCTAATCTATTTCATTTCATGCTTCATCTCTTTTGACTCTATTTTCCTTTTCTTTTTTCTTGGTGTTGTATGCTTTCTAGAAGATAGAAACATCTACCATTCTTCAACATTTAATTGCAAATTGATAGAGTTAGAGGAACACATCATACAAATTAATAACATATTGGTATTTACTTCACAAAATATCTATTTTTGTGTTAGAGGACCACAATGATGTGTTGCTTCACACAACTTCTATTCCTCGTTATCTAACCACTAAGTGATAGTGTAGGATTAGAGGAACAAACCACATAAATTAATAACAGAATGATATTTCCCTCACAATATCTGATTCTGATACAGAAGACTGAACCAGAAAAAAAAAAGAGAGGAAAATATCCAAACGATACTCCAAGCAAGACTAAGCCCTGCCCCAGAAAAATCCTGAAAACAAAGCATACAACTCTCTATACCCTCACACTCCACATGCTACACCTTATATCCAACTACATGTGACTCCTCACCATCCTAATGGTTTTCCATCATTTTCCCTACAGTTCCCTTCTTCTGATATAAACAAACCACTAATATGGACTTTCAACATTTGATTAATGGCTATAGCAAGCATAAAGCATAAAATAGAATGGAAATCTTTGTAACTTAGACTATAGGCATGTAATTAGGCTAAAAGACTCCCAACAAATTTGTTACAATAGCTGGAAAATATCTCATGATACTCTTATTTTATTATACCATATTTAGAGTATCTAATTAGGATTGGCTTCCATATTTCATTATATTTTAATTTATTTCTTTATTTGATTATGAAAAGGAGTCTAGTACTAGTATAAAAAGAGTCACTGCTTGGAATTTTGTAATACAACATTACACATGAATCAATGGTATACTTGGATTTTGTTCTCTCTTTTCCTTCTCTTATCTATATCCCTATAACTTTAACATGGTAAAAGAGTGCTACCATTTTCCATGACCCAGTTTTGTCATCATTTTGTTGCCGAGTTTCAAAAGTTTGAAACTCTTTTATGTGTCTCCATCGGATTGTGTTCTTGTTTTTTTTTTTTCTTTTCTATTTGGTGGTCAGATTTGACACGTTCCCTCTACATCATGTTTGATGCACTTATTCTATTTCTCGGCACATGTTGTGAAATTATCACTACTTTGTCATTGTTTTGGCTAGCACAAGCCACTTTTACGATGATAACTTCGTTACAATGGAAAATGTTCTTTCTCTAAAATTTTTGTTTAGTATGTTGCATGATGTGACGTATTTCTCTATTTTATAACATATCATTACACACCATATATCAATAACTTCAGATTTTGTTTCTTTCCCTCCTCTGCATAAAACTCCTATGATTTCAACAAATTTCTTCTAATTTAATAAAACCAATGGTCAAATCACCAAAAAAATGTCTAGTTGATTGGTTTATAAACTCCAACACAACTATTTGCACTTCATTGTCCAGTGGGTTGTCATCTTAATTTATAGAAAGGTCAGGCTTAAAGAATAAAGCAACCAACTCAATGAAAAATTAAAGTTGAAAAGGAGAAACCAAAAGGAAAAAAGAAAAGGTAAGGAAACCATGCTACAGAAGTTACCAGTCGTGATAAATGCCAACCAATCCACGCTCAAATATAACACCCAAGTTAGCTTTCTCAGCAATTGTAGGCACAACATTCATAACCCATAATTTGGGAGATTCCAGTGCAGCAGCAAAACTTCCCAGGCCAGCATTCATGTCCATTATGTTGCGATACCTCCCTGAGCTAAGGATTTTGTTGATACGTTTGTAAGCATTCACATGCTTCTTCCATACTCGGTTGTCCTCTTCAAATACTTCCACAGATACACCAGGAACAGATCCACTGGTGATTCTGAAAGGAACAGCATTGAGTCTCTCTTGGAATGGTTTCCATGAGCCACCAGGTTTACTAGGAGTTACACAATCTTCCATTTTCTTGTACCTACACATTGTCAGACCTTTCAGACAATTATTGAAGCCAATAGTTCTTATCCCAAAGGTTAGGACTACACTAGTAACTTTTCATAAATGATCGAAGAAATCTGATCCTAGATAAACCATGTTTGTCAAGTACTCAATTACCATTTAAGAAATAATTCTTACATAATGCATATAGTATAAAATTCAAACTTCTTGTATCCATCCAATTAGAAAGCTTAGGAAATAGTTTGGGACTAGCGAAGTAGCAACTCAAGGAGGAAAATGGTCATCATTTTTTCAAAAACAGTGTTATTGTTACTCAGAAAATATGAATGTAGAGGAAATTTAAGTAGTTTGTTAACTAGAATACATATTTTCGTTCCAAGTTGATAAAGAATTTGGTGCAAAAGTAATAAACTGATAGGAGACCCGTGGTTAAACGGGTATATGTGA